AAATAATCAAGCAAGGCCCAATATATGGCCCAATCTTCCAAATTGGGCCCAAACCTCTACATGGACTTATCTGGAGGCCCAACCATTTATTATAGTCCAAACAATTGGCATTCTAATGGTCCAATATTTCATAATCATCAAGGCCCAATTATGGCTCACTTATGGCCAAATTTTCCAAATTGGGCCCAAGACTTTCCAATGGGCCCTATCCTAAAGCCCAATCATTTCCTTAGTCCACAAACTTGTTCCCCTTTTGGCCCACGAAGGCCCACAACAACCCAGTCCAAGAAATGGCCCAACAAGAACCCAAACCCAATTAGGGTTTTTCACATAAAATGACGATTAGGGTTAAGTGTTCCTACTTCACCCATTAAGGACTTAATCCATTAAGTCCACCACTTCACTAGTCCAAACATACAATGTAATCGGGCTTGAGTCATAACTTCACTCCAATGGTCCAAAACGCGGGTCCCGATAATTCCAAACTAACATATTCACAATTAGGGTTTTCTAAACCCTAATTAGGGCTTCTAACCCAACTACACACCAACAAAGTTCCAAATTAGGTTTTTAAACTAATTTGAGTTTCATTAGGTCAATTAGGGTTCCATTAGGCCGGACACCACCCATTGCCACCTCGGGCGGTGGTGGTCGGCGACGGCTCATGACGACAGCCACCACCTCACGGTGGTGGTGATTATGATGTTAGGCCAAAACGCATCAAAATATCCCGAATAACAGTCCAATTCACACCCAAGCACACACAACCACCCAAGGTGGCGGCTGGTGGCGGTGTGAGGTGGAAGCCACCACCTCACGGTGGTGTTGACGAGTTTTTTAGGCCAAATCACACTCCCAATAAAACCCATAAATCACACCCCCATACACACAAAACGCACACACAGCCACCATGGTTAGCAATCATGGTGGTTTTCCAAGCTTTCCGGTCAACAAGCATACACACACGCATATCCAAGGATCATCGCGACACACCTTCACGTAAACATACCCCGCTGCTCGTCCCTCCTCTCGGTGGTGAATCTCGACCGGATAATCGAAATGCAGGTTGTACTAGCGGTGGCGGCGGCTAGCTGCTGTGGGACGATCTCCGAAGCGGGCGGTGGTCCGAACGGCACCGGAAACAGCCGAGTGCGGCTGTGAACGGCGATAGAAAAAGAGAAGAAGAAAAATGCGGACGAATGAGAGGTGGCAGCGGTGCTCACAGCTTCGCCGGTAGTCCTCGTTGTCGCCGACAGCAAGGCACGACGGTGTTTCAACGACTGGTGGCGTCGGAGGTGGAAGGGAGGTATAAGTGTGGTGGTGGCGGCTGATGATGTTCCATTAGTGTTAGGGTTTATTACTATATATATGGAGGCAGCTAGGAGGGTGACGGGTTCACCCGTACCCCATACAATCTTCATAAGGATTTTACACTTCTAGCCCCTCCTCCTATTATTCTATTCAAAACAAATCCATAATTTACCATTTAAACCCCGCCTTCTGAAATCCCTTACAAATCAAGTCTGAAAATTTTACCAAGCAGCCCCTCCCTCTACAAATTATTTTCAACTGAAGTCCTTATGTTACCAAATGGCCCCTCCTCTACAAAACTTCTTCAACTTAGGTCCAGAATTTACTCTTTAGCCTCTGCTTCCATAAATCCTTTCATATTAATTCCAAATGATACCAAACCCCCCCTGACTTCTGAAAATCTTTACAAAAAAAATCCCGAAACTTACACTTTTAACCCCCAACTTCTAAAATTGTGACAGTTAACTCCTCGAGACCAACACCTTGCTATATTATTATTGATTTTAGGCCTACTATTCATTCATTAATTTGTCTATTTATTTATTTAATAAACGAGGTGTTACACGATAATTAAACATCATCTGCAACATAGAATTCTATTTTGCCATCAATAATCCTAGTAAAGGAAACAACAGTAAGTAACAAAGAAAAATGAACATCTTTGTACTCTGATATTGCATATCATAACTTCAATTTCACATTACATTGAATGGAATCAACTTCAAAATACACGATAGAGTATCAATACAGTGTTTTAAAACGTCGATGTTGGAGAATATTGTATCATTTCTGAGTAAGTGTCTTTTTCCATGGGAACAATATGAACCGAAGGGTTGGTTAAGAATTAACAGTAAAAGAATTTCTTGCAAAATATTATCATTTAAAAATAAAGTGATTGGAAATAAAGTAGGTCAACATGTCATCACTTTATTGCATCTTTAAAACCCTAAAATACAACAAACGAATTTGGAGCAAAATATTATATCATTTCCCATATATTCTTGGTAACAAGATCGATAAGCAGTTATCAATAAAGAAATATATCGGGTACTTTATATTCAAACCATATGATACGTGAAAACAATGCAATATATTCGATGTTTGTTAGGAAAGTATATTCAGTGCAACATCATGAACTTCAGACATCACACTTGCATATGAAAATGTAACAACAGGTAGCGTCTACATTATTAAAATGGAACATACCATTAATTACACATTATAAACAAGCCTATATAGTTCTATGTATAATTTTTTACCCAACCGGTTAATAAATTCCATAAAATTATTTGACAAAACACACCCACAAAATGCACACAAACACCATAACATATTAAATCATATTAATTCTTATTCTTCTTTGAAATGAACATGTGAGCCTAAGCATCCACTTCTTGTCCTTACAACTAGAACAATGCCAACATTTTCCTACTCTCTTCAACTCGTTGTCATATAACGCTCTCACAAGTTTCTACAAAAACAACACCTTTAGCGCAAAATTGCAATGAAAATCGAGCAAATCTTCTTCAATAACCTATAACATATATAACATGAAGAAAACATACATTAACTATTCGAAAACAACTCTACATATTTCACTAGTGGGTATGGAAACTTCCTTCATGGTCATTCTTCACATCTGAGTCACCTTGTTATACACCTAACAAATTAAATATTAAAAGACAACATACGGTTCCGATTTAAATAAAATGAATGAATTTTACCTCAGCTACCTACTCCGATTTTTGTATACCACAACATGACATGCCAACCATATCCATGGGACGACTCCAATATGTCATATTTATACATGCTAAGAAGATCGGTTACAATGGCACTTAGAAGATTAAAGATTGTCATTAAATGACCAAATACAACATATAACCACAGCCAACCGAAGATCCACTCTCAATCGAACGCCATGTCAACAAATTGAAAGTGTCCTAAAGGTTGTTATTCCTGCATCAAGCTGACTTAGGAAAATTATTTGAAAAATTAAGCGCTCCCTAGAAACATGCTCTTTGCAACAAATCACCAAAACTTCTCTAAGTTATATAGGATAATATACTCTTTTAGGTCAAATAAAATTGAAATAATAGGAAATATAGTAAATGTTGAACATTATATAATAAATATGATAATGAATGTACGAATCGAATCGACACAATCAAGTAATAATGTCTCATTTTTACGAGTGTCAACCAGTGGCAGAGCCAGGATCAAAGAAAGGGGAGTAAAGGGTATGCCCAAAAAATTACCGAAAAAAAATTACACTACTGAAAAAAATTGAAAAAATATTACACCACATAAACCTTTTTTTGAGGGGTATCCCGAGCTATCCAAGTAACCACCTAGCTCCGCGCTTGTTGTCAACACATCATGGATTAATGAAAATATCCAAACAAAATAAGTTTTCAATTTATAAAGGCACCAACTACTCTGTTAAAGTACCTACTGAAATTTTTGCACAATTTTGATATCTTAAAATTGTAGCAACAAAGAGAAAATGTTGGTTAATATAAAGTTATATCCATAATGGCTACTGTGTAACAGTCCAAGCTAGTATCGTATATTAATTAGAATCTTGTTTTTCTCTTAGTGGCGGGTATTAAATATTTTGACACATGAATTAGTGCAATTAATGTTTGTGATGCTTAAAAACTTCTTAGATTTGGAAGACAAAATGGATATAGGTTAAGAGTACACAGAATGGGTCATTTTTTGCTCGCGTTATGGCTGATGCGGCGGCCATAACACCATCTTAATGCAATGAACACCACCCCTTTCTCGTTAAGGGGTGTTATGGTATTTCTAGATGTAACGAAGACGGGATAAAACACTTACTTTGATTGGCTATTCCTTCATCCACCAATCAATTTTTTTCTTTATTTTTCTCTCTCCTCTTAACACCATGTTATAACATGGAAACATCACCCCCACTTCATGTTATAACATGTTAAAATGTGAGGTAACAATAGTTGGTTCATAACACCGTTGCCCATACCCAATACTTTAATGGAAGTCTCATTATTTACCAACACTGATGAAATTGGTGAAGATTTTATTGCAGATACTCGAGGAGGAAATACAAATTACGTCGCGGTACAACGTCAAACGCCACCCCATCCAACAAAAGGTATATACAACGATGATTACAATTATTGAATTTCCCTCGCGATATGCCGCTTGAATGATATGTCTATCTTTTACAATTTATCTAATGTTTGGAAAAAAAATCAAGTATTTTATATCTGTGGAATACTCAAGTTTTTATATTTATGAAAAAAACCGGAGCGAATAAAAATCAACAATATTCTTTTGCGTTCTGACGACCAAAGAAATCGTCGGACCGAATTAGTCTAGACCGAACCAATACCGGAAAAAAAAACCAAACAAAAATGCTGCAAAACTAAATAAATAAATAAAAACTAGAAGTCCGAGATCTAATCCATACAAGGAAACCTACTACTAATAACCCTCTTTGGCAAAAAAATATATATACATATAAATAAAATAATATTTTTCAGGGACCGAAGTCGGAAAAAAGATAAACAAAAACAAAGAATTTCCAAGAAGCAACGTCATCTTATGGGTCATCATATTATCGTAGATGTTTATTTATTTGTCATATAAGTAGACCACTTCAAAATAACATTCAACATCGCTTTCTCCTACGATGTTTAAACTAGATGTTTATTTATTTGTCACCGTCTAAACACAACCTATTCTCATTGGCGAAGGGGCTTTGGAGTGGCCAACCTCCTACGATGGAAGATTTGAATCCTCGCAATCAAAGTGCATTCACTAATTCGATATCTCAATCCACACCCACAATTAACCCACCATCGGCTTCTGATGTATATCACCGCGGCATCACTCAATCGGGATTTCAATCTATATCCACCGGTAACTCCCCATCGGCTAATGCTATATATAATCGAGGCGGCAGTACTTCAGGTTCTGGAATTATCTACTCTGATTCGGGAGTGAATCCATTTGAGGCTAAGGGGTTATCCTTAGCCAAACCACGGATACGATGGGGGAATGCACGGCCAAAACAATGATAGGTCAAGCTGGAACCATTACTAGGTCACGATCGCTGTTTTGACTCATGGTCTTCATAAACAATTGCAATTTTTTTTCGTTGTTCATCGTTGTAATCTTGACTAAAGTTGTTGCAGTCTGTATTTTTCCCCATATGTAGTGTTTTTACAGAGTTCGTTGATGTAATTTCAAATATCATTTCCCTTTCTCCTAATATCGTCAAACAGATACGAAGTAAAACTAGTTGTTGTTGAGTAGGTGAAGCCACTCAACTATTAGTGGCAGAAATCATGATACCACTCAAATATTAGTGGTTGAAAAGCAAGTCAAAAAGGTGGAAAAGGAGAGGTGATCCATATTTCCCGGATGCATGTTTCATGGTTGCTTTTCTTGTTCAATTGTTTACTTCAGACTCTATATATGAGTCTCATTTGTATTGTAAAAATAAGCAACAAAGAGTGAGTACAGATTAGCACCAAGAAATATAAACTCCTAGTTACCTCGTGTGGATGTAGGTCAGAAATAGACCGAACCACCTTAAATCTTTGTTGTTCGTGTGTTTAGAGTGGTGTGTTAAGTGTCTCGATCCTAACAAGTGGTATCAGAGCAAGGTTTTAGCTCCAGAAGGTGATTTTCAGTTTTTTGGTCAAAAAATTTTTTTCGTCAAAAACAATTTTGGTGTATACCGTTGAAAAGGTCTCGTTCCGAAGATTCCGAAAATATTTTTTTCTGAATTTTTTTACCACCGGAAGACGTCCAAATCGCCGGTCAAAGGTTGCCGGAATAGTTACCGGAAAAAACCAGTTTCGCCGGAGAAGACGACACTGTAGCACCGAAGTTCCGCCGGAGAAGACGACAATGTAGCACCGAAGTTCTGCCGGAGAAGACGACACTGTAGCACCGGAGTTCTGTAGCACGACGTCAGCGGTGACGTCAGCAGGCACTGTAGCAAAACTGTAGCAGATTTGAAAAATTGCAGTTTAGCCCCTGAACTTTCAGAAAATTGTAGTTTAGCCCCTAATCTTTTAGAAAATGGCAGAAAACAGTAAGCTTTAGATTGAGAAGTTTGATGGGAAAGATTTTGGTTGGTGGAAGATGCAAATTGAAGATTTGCTCGTGCAGAAAGACTTGGACGCAATTTTAGGTGAAAAACCGGAGGCGATAACACAGGCAAACTGGGAGATTTTGGATAAGAAGGACAAGGCATTTATTAGACTGACGTTGTCAAAGGATGTTGCCTTCAACATTTTGAAGGAGACCTCGGCAAAGGGAATCATGGAGGCATTGTCTAATATGTACGAGAAGCCGTCGGCAGCAAATAAAGTCTTCCTGATTCGGGAGCTAGTCAACACGAGGATGAGGGAAGGAAGTTCAGTTACAGTACACATCAGCAATTTGAACTCGATTTTATCCAGACTTGGGTCAGTAGGAATAAAATTTGAGGACGAAGTTCAAGCTTTACTACTGTTATCATCATTACCTGACAGTTGGTCCGGAACAGTTACAGCCGTTACTAGTTCCTCAGGATCGAAAGAGCTCACTTTTGAGGGAATTCGGGATTTAATTCTTGGCGAAGACGTCAGACGAAGATATTCCGGGGAATCATCAAGTGAACAATTGAATGCGGTCAGAGGTAGAAAAAATAACAGATGTAGTGGTAGCCGGAACAGGAGAAGGAGTCAGTCGAGGACTCGAAATGATGTGACTTGTTGGAACTGTAAATAGGTTGGACATTTCAGGAATCAATGTCCAAAAGACAAGAAAGAAGTTAACGCTGCAGTAGACTATTCAGATGATGATGTTTTGATCTGTAGTGTGGAGAGCAATGTGGATTCCTGGGTTATGGATTCGGGTGCTTCATTTCACGCTACCCACAGCCGTGAAGCACTGCAGAATCTGAAAGAAGGAGATTTTGGTAAGGTAAGACTGGCGAACGATGAGGTTCTTGATGTGACGAGCATAGGTGACTTAGTTTTGAAGACTCCAGTTGGTCCATGGACTTTGAAGGATGTCCGGGTAATTCCAAGTCTGAAGAAACAGTTGATTTCTGTTGGGCAGTTGGATGAATAGGGACACGAGGTTAAGTTCAGGAATGGGCAGTGGAAGGTTGTCAAAGGAAATCTTGTGATAGCTCGTGGACATAAGAAGGGTTCATTATATATGGTCAGATTACCATCTGAGGGAGTAACCGTCCCAGTTCAGAAGAAAAACAAAATCCGGTTCATAGAGTCTCGTGGACAAAAGAAGGTTTGCTTTGCAGATGGCAAACCCAGAGTCACAGGTCAGATTCAGGTTGAACGTGTTTGGAACGGTTCAAAAAACCAGTCAAGGGCATTCATAGCAGTGGGAGCAAGGGTTGTGCTTCAGCTAGAATACCCAGAACATAGTGGGTTAAGAGAACCAGTATTCCATCCGTAAAAGTCTCTCCAGATTATCTGTTTCACATGGAGAGTGTCGTTTGTTCTCAGGATGTTCCAGGATCGGGCAGTTCATTTCAGTGGGAGCCGGTGGAGACAGAGAACAGGTCAGTGGCAGACTTAGCCATGACTAATGTGTTGGAGCTAACGGAAGCTTCAACTAGCCTTCAGGTAAATTGAAGAGAAGGCTGGGTAACTAGGAAGGAGCTAAGATGAAAAGTTTTACGGAAATACAAATGCACAGTTGAAGCACATGTGAAGATTATTCCGTGGCTTCAAGTGGGAGATTGTTGAGTAGGTGAAGCCACTCAAATATTAGTGGCAGAAATCATGATACCACTCAAATATTAGTGGTTGAAAAGCAAGTCAAAAAGGTGGAAAATGAGAGGTGATCCATATTTCCCGGATGCATGTTTCATGGCTGCTTTTCTTGTTCAATTGTTTACTTCAGACTCTATATATGAGTCTCATTTGTATTGTAAAAATAAGCAACAAAGAGTGAGTACAGATTAGCACCAAGAAATATAAACTCCTAGTTACCTCGTGTGGATGTAGGTCAGAAATAGACCGAACCACCTTAAATCTTTGTTGTTCGTGTGTTTAGAGTGGTGTTAAGTGTCTCGATCCTAACAGTTGTAACTCCTATATCACAAACTTAACCAGGGTATCATTTTATATAGGATGGAAAGAAATTACTAGCTGATAGTTGTCTAAAAAAACTGTTAAGAAATAATGCATATTTTGGCAATTTCGACTTTGGAACGACAAAATAGTTGTTCACTTATTGGTTGTTTTTTATGTGTGGGAAAATTAGAAGAAAAGGAAACGAGAGCTCAGAGCACACAAAGTCCACTCCCAAGTACAAGGTTGCCACAGTCATTAACTAAACTATAAGGGATGGAGCATTGAAGCGATAAAGTTGGTGTGAAAAACAATAAAAGTAATTTTTATCTTTATTTATTTATGTTTTCTTTAAACGGCAAATATACTATAAACTACTCCTAAATTATTGCACCTATATATCCACAATCAGACTCGAACTCTCGACCTCAAAGAGGGAGGACAATAGCAGATACGGTTGCGTTAGAAGCCCTTTGGTATTAGTCATCTACCATATTAAATGAAAACTTGACATCTGTTGTTTTCTACAAACTTTTGACACATATCATTATATCATTATCTGCAGGGCCGGTCCATTGGTATTTCATGTCTAGGGTGAGATGAAAAAATGAATGCCCCTACATTTGTACCGTACAATACACCAAATGAATATATACATCACAAATGTATAAAACAAAAGTGCAATATATTTTTTCAAATATTTATAATAACAGCCAAAATCTTGTAAAAATCACCTAAAAAAACAAACTCATACACATCATAAATGTATAAAACAACAAACTCAACCAAACTCAACCGTGGCAGTAGCATCAAAGCAGCACCAAAATCATACATCTATTTTGAAAAAGACTTTGTACTTTACGGGGCTAACACATAGAGGCAATGCACTTTGCATCAAAATTCCAACAACAATAGAAATGTTAAGGCCCTCCAACAATTATGAGACCACAAATAAAGGTTGTAGAAAACACTAAATCATCCTTAACTTCAGACTTTCATTAAAGCAATCCACAACAATACCAACTTGGGCAAAACTGCAACCATGTATTGGACCTTAGAGATGTGATGGACATTTTAGACAATAAGGTCATTATCTACAGGAGGAGTGATTTATTGAAAACATAAATTAAAAAAGACTCTTGTGTTCAAAAATCAAAACATAATAATTATAAATAGTTAAATAATAAACATAAACATATTTTATATGAAAGAAGACTTTTTCACAATGACAATAATTAACAAAAAAAAGTTCAGCTAGTGGCTCAACAAAAGTACAGATACAGCTAAAGTGATAACTACAACAATTTAAATTGAATAAAAAAAATAGCTAAAGTGATAACTACAACAATTTAAATTGAATAAAAAAATAGCAACATTGAGTTTCAAGAGTAAGCCAACCATATCATTATACATCCAGCAATATGCATTCAGCGGCAGAACAACACCAGATGCAAATTTCATTGTAAACCACAAAAATTCCCACAATACCCCTAACTTAGAAAACCTTCCAAAATATAACCTCCTGTCATAAGTTGGAAACAGAGATACAAGAAGAAGGAATTGTAATCTGACTTTTTTGTTCTCTAAAATCGGTGCAACCTGAAATCTCAGTCCACGAATAAAAGAAAGAATAAGAAAACCTTGTTGACTTTCATTCAACAAAGAAGAGGTGAAATAAAAAACATCAGAAGAACCAAAAAGTTTCAGAAAAAAATAAATCGATAGAAATTAAAATCTTAAGAAGGATGTTTGGTTGCTGGGAGTAGGAGACAAGTAAATACAACTGTTATCGTCACTACTTGCTGTGATGTCTCTCGGTATCCCGTCTCCTCGTTTTCTCCCTGTCTCTTCCTTTTCTTTGTGTGCGGCTGTGTTTTTTTGTCTCTCTATCGCTTCTTTTTTTTCATACGCAAACTGGATCAAACCTAGGGCCCAAAATAATAATACATCCTTACGAATATTCGAAGATTGATGCCCCATGC